AGATTAGAGCTGAAAAACATGATAAGAAAAGCGATGAAATTTGCATGATGATGGGTAGAACTCAATTTATGCAAAACAGTCATGATGGTTACTAGAGTAGTGGCGAGTCAAGTAGTAATGGAGGTAGGAAGAAGGAAAAGGGTATGTCTAGATCCAAATCTAGGACCAATGTTAGGAAATGCTATGGCTGTGGGAACATTGGACATTTTATAAAGGATTGCTATAAAGAAAAAAGTAAGCAAAAGGGTAAAGAGATAGATGAAGTAAATGTATTATCTTCTATTTTTGATAGTGGTGATAGTGAGGTCTATATGATTACAAGTCATATTGCTTATCCTGCTAAATTGAATTTAACTACCAATTCTCGTTTGCATTAATGAATACTTGATTTTGGTGCATCTTTCCATGTGATATCACAAAAGGACTGATTTGAAAATTTGCATGAATCGAATGATGGGCATTTGGTACTCTGTGACAATTTTGCTTATAATGTTGTTGGCATTAGTGATATTACTTTAAAGTTTGACACTTGCTTTGTGCAAACTTTAAAAAATGTTCAATACATCCCTGAATTGTCTAGAAATTTAATCTGAGTAGGAAGACTTGAGAAAGCTGATTTCACTGGTAAAATTGGAAATTGACNAATTTAATTTCAGTAGGAAGACTTGAAAACGCTGACTTCACTGGTAAAATTAGAAATGGATTTTTGAAACTGGTTAAGGGTGTACTTGTATCTATTGAAGGAATTAGGAAAAATGATATTTACACTAATGGGGAAGTGATGAGAAGTTTAAATTTCTCTATCTCTTCTTCTAAGGCTGATCACACTCATAAATGGCACAATAAACTTGTACGTGTGTGTATTAAGGGGATTAGATTTGGAAATGATTGTGTCTAATTTATCCTTCCGTGAGCATTATGTGCCTTGTAAATATCATAGAACTACTTTCTCCACGAGTGTTCATAAAACTAAAGGCATGTTTGAATATGTGCATTCGAACTTATAGGGTTCCTCTAGCAATCCCACCATGAGTGAAAATAGGTACTTCTTGTCTATCAATGATAACTACACTAAAAAAGTGTGGGTTTATTTTTTTCGACTACAAATATGATATTTTTCATAGTTTTAATAATTGGA